TCGGTGCCGGGGGGGGCGGGAGCCATGAGCGATATTCGGCACTCGCTGCTGCGGCGGGACGCGCTGAGCGCCGCCAAGGAGGTGCTGTACCACCTGGACATCTACTTCAGCAGCCAGCTGCAGAACGCCCCGCTGCCCCTCGTCGACAAGGGCCCCGCCGAGCTGCTGGAGGAATTCCTCTTCCAGGTCCCCAAGGAGCGCGGCGCTCCGCCCAAGGTGGGCCCCGACCGCGGGGCGAGGCCTGGCGGGGCCCTGAGAGTCCGGGCAGGGTCTCAGGGGCTGGGGACTGGGGGGGGTTGGCGGGGAGGAGGCTGGCGGGCAAGGCCCCGGTGGACTGGGCAGGCTGTGGTGCGGTGGGGCCCGAGGCCCCTGGGGACTGCCCGCAGCCTCCCAGTGCTGCAGCTGGGCTGTACCAGGGTTTTTAGGTGGCTGGGTGTGGGCTGGAGCTGAGGTGGGGACCTCCCGGCGAGCAGCGACCAGAAACCACAGCTGCTGGTGAGCGCCGGGGTGCGTGGGCCTGGGGCACGCTGGGCTGCTGGGCCCAGCCGTGGTCCCCTCCCAGGGCCGCCCGGCGGTGCCCTTAGTGCTGTTATTTGGGGAGGGAGGAAATATTTTTTCACCCCAGTATTGCTGTAGGTCTTATCTCTCAGTTTGTGGGCAGCGCTTGCTGGCACAGCAAGCACCACCTTGGGTATCCAGGTGTTCAAATACAGCCTAGAGCTTTTCTGTGTAAGTGGTGGTTCAGGAAGCTTGAATATGTACACTGTGCACAAAGATTGAGTTTCTAACACCTGAGGGAAGCTCTCGGCCTTTACCGTCCCTGTCTTTCATCAAAGCAGCTCTCGATTCTTCAAGAGCCCCACTATATTTTGCAGCTTTGCTTTTGTTTTCTTTCAGAGATTGAATTCACTTCAGGAACTTCAGCTCCTTGAGATCATGTGCAATTATTTCCAAGAGCAAACCAAGGATTCAGTCCGGCAGATCATTTTTTCGTCTCTCTTCAGCCCTCAAGGAAACAAAGCAGATGACAGCAGGATGGCTTTACTGGGAAAGCTGGTTTCCATGGCAGTGGCTGTGTGCAGGGTTCCAGTTCTGGAATGTGCTGCCTTCTGGCTGCAGGTACAGCTTCTGTGCAGGCAGGGCAGTCTCAGGGAAGGAGTGAGGGAGTGTGCCATGATGGGTACGGGTGAAATGAGTGTCGCCTAATGGTCGGTGACAGCTGGTTGCAGTCAGCTCCTCCTCTGTGGCAGTTTAAGATGCTACAACAGCTGGCTGCTGCAGCTACATTCACTCCACGTCTGTGCTCATGTCCAGTCCTTTGCTCCAGCATGAAGGTAGAGCTTTTGCCAATCCATTTGTGTGCTGCACTGGCAGATGAAAATTTGTGGTTTTTTACTGTGGGTGAAAGTTTTATTGGTATTTTCCCCACCACCACCCCCAATCCCAGCATGTCAAAAGGGACCAGTGGAGGCCGTGGATGACACAGGGAGCAAAACTAAGGTTGTTTGGGGTCATGTTGCCCAAAGAAGCCAACTCTGGAGTTTGGGAAATAAACTGTCCCTCGTACAAGTTTGGGCATGGCAGAACAGGCAAACCTCTCTTGAGATTTGGGCACAACATACCTGTGTCTGGTATTCGTATCCGTGAACGCAGTATGTCAGGGATCTCCTATATCTCCTCCTTTCCCATTGAGATTCCCCACTGTAGACGCTGAGAAGTGCATCTTTGTTCAGAAGATGTGCAGAAGTCGCCTGCTTTACAGAAGGGGAAGAGCAGAAAGACTGTGCTGGGAGGGAAGAGAGGCAGGAGGCAGACCTGTACAGTTTCTGTGGGGTCCCTCTTTTTCTGCCTGGTGAGCCTTGGCAGAGGAGGAGGGGATGTAAACTGGATAGCAGAAGAAGGTGTAGTTTTTGGCCGGTTGCAGCTCTGAAGTGACATGAGGATTGCACAGGATTTTTCCACGTTAAAAATGTCAAGCGTAACTGAGAGGTTACTGAACTAGTTTTTCTGACTGAACTAGTTGAACTACAGAACTATGTTGCTGAAGTAGTGAAAAAAATCTCCGTCTAAGTCAAAATATTGATGTAAAAGGCTTTAATTTTAGATTACAGATATTGTAAACACAAAAAAACCCATCTGTTTGAATACTGTGAAATTGTAATTTTATTTCTGAGTGACTCTTTGATATGCAGAGAGAGAGAGAGAAAGTGCGCTTTAATTTTGGGAAAGTGGAAACACAAACGTTGAAACAGCGAAGCAGCTGGGTGAGATGGACAGGCAGAGTGTTTGGGCAATGGAAACTTTGAAGTCAGCTCTGGAGAACGTTGCGTGATTGGGTTTAATCCGCTTTTCCTTGTGTGCTGTCCCGCACCCCTGCAGCGAACCCCTGCTGTGTACTGTGTGAGGCTAGCCCGGGCCTTGGTCGATGACTACTGCAACTTGGTGCCAGGGTCCATCCAGACCCTGAAGCAGATATTCAGCGCCAGTCCTCGCTTCTGCTGCCAGTTCATTACATCGGTCACAGCGCTCTACGACCTCTCTTCAGGTAAGTGTTTCCAAGCTGTGTCTTTTGAAGTAAGAGATGCAGAATAATGCAACGCAAATTAACCATTGCAAGCGAATTAACTGTGGAAATTCTCAAGATGCTTGTTACCACGTAATTATTGCCAGAAGCAGCTCAGAGATGTGGCAGTTGCCTCCTCTGTCACTGGGGTGAGAATAAAAATAACCACGCAGTGGCTGAAGGGAGAGTCTTTGCTGGAGAAGCAGCCAGGTAATGCCTGACACAAAGGGCAACGTCCTCTACAGAGGGCAAAGGACATGGGGACCTTAATGATTGAGCAGCTCTGGGAGTGAAAGCTGATCTGCCTGGGCTGGGCAGTTTGGCCTCCCTGTTGTGTGTCACCTACCCAGCACATATGCTCTGGCAGCCCAGTTCCTTCCAAAAAGGGGGGAAAATGCAAATTCTGAACGCTCACAAGCTGGAGCAGGATTTCTGTTGAGCAATGACAAGAAATGCAATCAACAGCGTACCTCCAAGGTGCTCTTTAACTGCATGTGTGACCAGCTAGTGATACGACCTGTCTCAGGTGGTTGTTGCTCAGACACTAGAAATGTGTAGGTGTCTAAAATAAGATGGATTTACCTTTACTCAGTGAGAGAGACAAAGAGCTTGTGGTAGACTAGGGAACAACCACGCACTAAATAACAACATCACATAAAATCCAAAAAAGCAAATACTAGTTGTTATCGATAAAGGAAATGTTTTGCACAGTCTTCTCCAGATAAGCAGCTTGGCATTAGTGAGAGAGAGGTGCAGGCTTAGGCTTTTTTTTTTTTTTAAAAGTATTTGGTAGAGCTCGTAGCATATTCTTCCTCAGTATTTTATATCTGTTTTGTGCAACCACTTGGAAGTTCATCCAACTAATTAATAGACATGTCAGAAAGGAAATAACATGAGTTATAGGAAGTAATTTTTTTTAATTCCTTAGTTTATTTGAGATGTTATTGGTGACACAAGAAAAGGAAGCTTGCTCTTCAAAGAGCCATCTGTAACTGGGCAGTCTCCACCACATCGTGAGGACAGGAGTCGATTGCACAAACAGCAGTATCTGTGATACTCAGAGGTCTCAGAAAAGCTAAAAACTGGAAAATACCAATTCTGTATCCAGTGCACATTGGTAATTCTGTAGTCCGGGTGATTTGTCCTATAAGTGATTTCAGGTACAAAAGACCTGACTAAACAGTTCTGTGCCAAGCCCTTTGTTGACAGCGTACACAACTCGCAATGAAAGTACGTCACTGAATCCAGTACCCTGCCCCTGTGGCGGGATGATGCACGATTACTGTGAAGTTAGTGTTCCTCTTGTCTGGAGTCAAGCTGCAGTTCATGACTGTCACGGATGAGTGGTTAGGCTGCTTAAAAATCACCTTTCACTTCTTACTTAAAGCTTTACATAATCTTATAATCCTTTACCTGTCATGGGATTGTGTTGTTGTGTTAAGTTTTCCCACAAGACATGCTTATTTAGGTAAGCCTTAAAGGAAATGAGTTGAACAATTGGGTGAAGAGAAAGAAGTGCCAACAAGTTTTTCCTTTTCCCTTGTCCTTTGTAATTCCTGTGGCAATGGAGACTGAGTTTAGAGAAAAAGCGAGCAGGTGACGGGTAGGGGAGAAGAAAATGACAAAAGAAGCTTTGCTGGGGAAAGGGGATAAACGTTGGCATTTGGTGGTGGAGAAGGCGAAGTTGACAGGAGCATGGTTGTATCTTCCCTGGGACAAATGAGCACCTGCCTTTGGTGTCTGGAAAAAAACAGCAGAGTTGGGGAGGTTTGGAAGTTGTAATTGTGACAGTGCTGGAAGAGTGTGTGTGAGAGATTAATTAAAGGCTGTCGTCTTGTGCTGCAGTGCAAGGCTCAGCTTACTCAATAATATCTTTCCTGTATTCAGATGACCTCATCCCTCCATCGGATCTGCTCGAGTTGATTGTTTCCTGGATCTTTGAAGACCCCCGCTTGATCCTCATCACCTTTCTAAACACTCCTATTGCAGCCAACCTGCCAATAGGGTTTTTAGAGCTCACCCCGCTGACTGGACTGATCCGTTGGTGCGTGAAGGCCCCCTTGGCTTATAAAAGGAAGAAGAAAGCCTCTCTCTCAAATGGACACCCTCCCAGCAAAATTGCCAAGGACTCGACTTCAGGAGAAGACAGAGATTGCCATCAGTTGTATTCAAAACTGCATCTAAGCGTCCTGCAGGTTCTTATGATGCTTCAGGGGCATTTAACAGAGAAGAACCTTTATGGGCGCCTGGGGCTAGTACCCTTCGACCACGTGGTTCCACTTGTTGAGGAAATTAACAGGCTGTCTGATGAACTGAATCCTCTCAATGCATCCAAAGAGATTGAACTGGCTCTAGACAGGCTGGCTCAAGCTTTGCAAGTGGCCATGGCATCGGGAGCACTCCTGTGCACTAGAGGTAAGTTGTCGGTGAGGCTGGCGGAGACCCTGGCACGGGATTCTTTTTCTCCTGTGTGTGGATGTTGTAAGAGGGAGTTTGGAGATGGGGAGAGTGAAGATCAGCATGTTGACAGCAAAGTAGTAGTTTGCCACTCTTGGGAAGCGATAGTGCAGGAAATATTTCAGGAAAATAACTGGATGGGGAGTAAGAAAGGAGAGATCATTGATGCAGGTGACTGGTGCGTTGCTTTGCAGAGCTGGAGAATTGATCTTCTACCTTGCGGTGTGCACAAGGGAGTTATATTTGGGTGTCCGGCATGGAGACAAATTTGCCCCCCTCAGAATTGTTTGTAGCTATTTAAAAAGCACTGTTTAATTGTGTTTCAGTCTGACTTCTCTGAGTTTGCCTGCTGGAGGAGAGACCATGAAGTAGATAAACCATGGGGTGGGCGTGCTAGACAACAAATTTGAAAAGCAAACAAAAACCGTTCATCTGGAACTTCTGGGCCTTCAGGTCTCCTGTAATGAGACCACATCACAGCGTGTATGATGTTGGTTAAACTTAGTAAAGAAGCCTGCTAATGTGGCTTTTGGCTGTCTTTCCTGTTGCCAAAACCGGTTCTTTGCGAAAGACTGCAGAGATGAAAAAGGGAAGTGCCTTAACGCAGCACAGGGTCATACTGTTTTGCTGATACATTCTCTTGAAAACAGGCGATTCTTGGTGTGACCAGAAGGCTCAAAGCTCCCCAAAGCCCAGGCAGTTGGTGCAGACCCCAGCTGTGGAGAGCGGCCTCTGCCTAAGCAGGTGCCTGAGGCTTTTGCCCTGGGTGAACCGGTGCTGCTGGTCAAATGTCGATGTTATTCTTTCTAATCCTGCATAAAGTAGCTCTGGGTGTAATAAGAATGGGCAGAAAAGTGGAGTTTTTTTTAGTTGATGGCTTATTTTGGCTGTGTTTTTTCCTAGCTGTTCACCTGGTACATTCTGAGCGCTTGCTTTTACTGTAGAAGTGGAAAATAATTCAGTATAAGTAGCTGCTGAAAAAACAGTTATTTCGGTGTTTTGGGGGAGTGTTTATCTGCAAAGGCAGGAGTTTGTTGTCAAGCTGTTCCTGAAAGGACTCTAGCAAGAGGGTATGTTGTTAAATACCTTGGTTCTAGCTATTATGCTTTGGAGGGGCAAATACAAACTGTTCATCAATAGCTGAAAATCAGTTGAAAGAAGTACTTCTTGCACAGGACCAAGGGAGAGATGGGAGCAGCTCACGAAGGAGTGAGGCATACCGATATTACCAAGAAGTATTCTAGAAAAGACATTTAGATGGTAAAAAAGGTGCAATTTTTAGTTAATAGACCCCAGGAAAAAAAAAAAAAACAAACCCTCGACCGTTTCTTTACACTAGCACTGTTTAAAAAAAAAAACCCAAAACAACACAAAACAGGTATTGGGTAAGCTTTGCCTTGCTGTGACCTGATGCCTCTCTCAGCATAAATGCCATATTCAGCGGGCAGAGTCATACCTTGTATTTCCTGTGTCTTAGTTACTTCTTGATAGTATATCGATATTGCAAATTCTGTACTAAGGCTTGGTCTGCCTTGAAATGAAGCTGCATTTCCTATATGGCAGCATAGGTTAAAATTCGAACACACAATAAAGTGTCAAGTGCAAAAAGCTGCGGTAATGACCGGTGAGATGGAGAAACATTTTCTCTCCTATGGAAGTTTTTGGCCTGAGAATGGGATTCTGGATCTGTTGATGACTGGAGCTTTTTCAGTAATCTCATCTTCCTAGAAAGGAGAGTGGAGAGGAAAATTGCTCTAATTTCTGCTTTATCCTTATTGTTGTCTTCTGTCCTCTTTCAGATGACTTGAGAACTGTGTGCTCCAGGCTACCGCATAACAAGTAAGAGACCTGTCTACAGCTGGGTGGGTTTTGAGGCATATTCCAAGACACGCACTTGAGGGCTGCTGAGACAAAATCTCCTCTAAAAAATTTGTGTTTGCTTTCTGGAAGTTGGCCTTCATTCACACATAGTTTAGCGCAGGGATAAAGGTGATAAACAGTGCTGGCCACTTCTTCCCTTGCAAGCTGGACTCTTGACTGAAGGAGACTTCGGTGACTCCCACCACATAGATGATCTCGCCCAGCCTGTGTTAGAGCCAATGCACAGAAGGGGAAAATTGAAATTACAGTGTGAAACCTGCCGCAAAGTTGTCCCATCCCCAACTCCCTGCTTGTTTTATCTGACCCTTAGCTTAACTGCACGTTGCTTCTTGCCTCTTTGCAAAGAGCAAACAAGTTTAAAAAAAAAAAAAAGGGAAAGAAAGAAAAAAAGAGTCTGCTGGAAGCTGTAAAGAGCATAATTGAATCACTGTCCTCTTGCCTCTCAGCAGTGCTGTGTGTTGGTTATGAATTGTCCTCAGAGCCAGGCCCTTGTGGGCTGGGGAGAGCCACGACAAAAGTCTTCCCTAAATAATCCTCACGCCTGTCTGAATTTCTCTCCGCAGCCTGCTCCAGCTGGTGATTTCAGGTCCAGTACAGCAACCGACCCACGGCGCTCTGCCACCAGGATTTTATCCTCATATCCATACTCCTCCTCTGGGCTACCCCGCGCACGCCGCGCACCCTGCGCTACCGGCTCACCCGGCGCTCCCGGCTCACCCCGTACAAACATTTATACCAGGAATGACATTCCCATACCGACCTATTCGCTAAGATGCTAGGACTGTAGAGTGTACCCAGTTTCCCTTAGTTTGAGGAAGCCTTGCAGATGAAACCAAATGTCTCGGGAACCACATTTTCCTCTTTGGTGTAAAGCTGAGCAACGCCTGCGTACGGGATCAGCCCTTCGGCAGTAGGGAAGACACAGACGGGTAGGCTGCAGTCGATTTGGATGCGGGTTGTGGATACTAAAGCAGATCATAGGGACAAAAGGAGAGGGGTGGGAAGAGGCAACAGAAACTCCAAACCTCTGCAGCGTGTGGAGATTTTTTTGATCCACATTGTTTCATATAATCACCGTGGTATGATATTTCTCTATCATGTGTTTTTCAGTAGCCCTGATCTACTTACGGCACAGTGAGCCCAGCTAGCCTTGCTCTAGGAGGGCCAGAAAGGAAGGCGTGAGATTTTTCAAGCCACTCCACTCCAGCCTGCTCGTTTCTTTGTAAATGTTTGTATCTATAGCTACAGAGTACGTGTACACTGTATATTTTTGGAACACAACTGTTTGTTTCAGAAGCACAAGGTAGAGTAAAGCAGCACTTCCTATTAAAGGAAACAATTTAAGAAGCATAAAATAGTTCTGCCGCTTTCTTTCAAACAGCGATTAGAAGGTCCAACTGGTTAGGCCTGTGCTAGGGAGGGAACGAAACCCCTTCGTGGCCGCAGGGACCCATCATCCTCCAGGCTTGGGAAATGCCCTGTTTTACACACCTCAATCAGGGATTCGTGAAACTTTGGGGTGAGAGCTGCTGCGTTTAATTAACGCTAGCTGGAAAACTGGGCAGAGGCTGGCTGCGGCGTGCTGGCCGGCTCCGAGCAAGGCGCAGGTGGGTGCGGAAGCATCGCAGGAAGGGCGACAGAACTTGCTGCTCTTAGCGCTACAGCTAAAAACACCATCGAGCCCCTTTAGTCGAGCTTTGTCGTCGTGCCGTGGTGCTCTGAGCCCCCTCTGCTGAGGGAAAAAACAAGAAAGAGGGGTCCTTTCTGTACGTTGGTGGCTTTGTTACAAAGACCTCGTCGGAGATGTGGTGGCTGGGGTTACCTGATTGCACGCTGGCTGCAAAAATGGGACAGATTAGATGGAAGCTGTGAAAATCTGATTTGAATGAGACAGCTGAGAAGAAAACTGTGTTTGCCCTTCTCTGGAAAGGGAAGGTAAATAACAATATTATAATAGTATGCCTTAACTTTTGGTGACGCAGTTGGCCTAGATGATTGTTGTAGGTCCCTTCCAACTGAAATATCCTATCCCATCTCGTCTCACTTTGTAGACCTTCAACCTTAAAAAAAAAACCAAAACCAAACTTTAAAAATTGTAATTTCAAGATTCGAGTCGTTATTGGCATCAAGCCCCGTGAGGGGTTGCCCCGGCGCCCCTTGCAGCGTAGAACCGGGGGGAGACTGCGGGAGAGGCGTGTGACCAACCCCCGTCCTGTTTCCCAAGCGTTTGTGCTCCAGGATGCCTCGTAAATTTTAAATTTCCCCTTTAATTAGCGGCTTTGATTTCGCGCCGCGCTCCCCCGCTGCTCCCACGTGGCCGTAGGGAGCGGGGCTTCACCTCTGCGCCTGCGCGGTCTCCGCGGATCACGTGAC